TTACCACTGAATTTTCCAAGTCGCACCGTACTTAGTGGTCGTAAATACTCATTTCTTTTCAAAGACTAGGAAACCGGTCTAAGGCATAAAAAATTCACCCGAGAGAATGTGGATTAAGTTTAAGCTCAGCCACTCTTGCTCAAGTTCTGGTATGATCCCTTAGATTTATGATTGGAAACTTGCGCAGCTTCAAAAGCCGAGGTGTGAGTATCTTAAAGCGTACGAGATCGGTTACCCCAATGGTCATCCATTGCGATAGACACAGAAGAAATCAGACTTACGTGGTACATTTGTGAAGGTGAATTCCAGACCAGGGAACATGGAAATCCCTGGCTCCATTACGGGGATGTCCACGCGAACAACCTCTTGTCCAAGAACGGCGAGCATCAAAGCAGGAGGCGACTGACGCTTGGGAGATGTAGGTCCGGGAGGCGGTACAATCATCTCACTTTTAGGCATCCATGCGGAGTCCAGAGGCCCGGAAGCCTCTACCTCCTCGAATGAGCTGTCCGCTGGAGAGTCCTCTAGTATGAGCGGAATGATGGCTATGCTGATGTTCTCCAGTTGACGTTCACCGCATCTGCATAGAAGCAACCATGGAATACATTCTTGCGGCATGGTTGAGTGGCCAAAGTCATCACAGTAATGCAAATTGGATAAGAGAATTTGATAAATGATTGCAAAATAAAAAACAGGATAATAAAAAACTTAGTTTAAGGTCGTAGAGGAGTACAAAATAGTTCAGTCAAGATGTCACCTCATAAAGGAAACAACAATTTATCATTCTTGTTTGCGTAAAAGAGTGGAAAACGTGCAAACTGAGTTGCTTCGACAGAATCTTTTCAATGAGCTGTTCGCCGGCATAAGTTTGGAATTGGCATAAGGAAAACGGAATCAGCGAGTGCCACAGCGACCAAAAATAAAGGAATTGATAGGTTTCGCAACTGATTTTACCACACCAGGAAAGTAGGGCAAACGTAGCCATTTCTCGGACCCAGACTCATAAAATATTCCTTCAAGCCTAGCCTCACATAAAACAGGTCGCCTTGAGATGTGAACAGGCAGTTTTAATGTGCACCAGAGTTATATGAACAAAGTCAATCAGAGATAGAAATTTAACA